ATTCTGTCAATCGCAAAGTTCAGCTAAACTAAGCGAGTTTTCACTGTGAGGAGCAGAGTGAGCAAGTTTGGTTTAATGCTTATCTTTACAATATTTCAGTTATATCATTGTGTTTCAGCCTAATGTGGAAGAAAATTCTCTAACAATGTTGGTGTCAGGCTTCCACCACTTCGGTGAAACCTGTGATCACAGATATAGTGATAACAAACCTAGACAAGAGTCATCAGAAGATGACATATCCCCCTGGCCCCTACATATTTGAAAGAACAAATCATCTGACAGTTACTTAAAGGAGAATACGAACGAAAACAAAACTTTTGATATATTGTAAAGGATATTCTAAAAGTCACATTCCATGATTAAAATTGAACAAAAAGTTTGTAAAATAGCAATAAAAACACAAAAAAGTACTCGTATTTCCGCCTATTACGGAAACACCCGACAGTTAATGAGCAGAGGGGGTATCACATGACTTGACCTCATAAGTGCCTGTTGCTGATGGCTTCCTCTTTGATTTTACCTCACAACTTAACAGTGTCCGTGGATGCTGAAGCAGTAAAAGATGTTCCTGATGTCATTTCTGAAATGGATGTTAGACCGTATCAATACGATCCGATTTTACATCTTGCAAGACAACCTTCCACTGAAGATGAAGAAGAAGAATCAAGCGAAACGGTGGCACCGCTTGAGGTCAAAATAAATTTAAAAATAGACCATATCATTTAACAAGATTACTATTTGTCAGCAAAATGTCATACAGTTCCAGCCAGCAAACTCACCCCTATAAATATATGACCAGTCACTAAGATTTATTTTAAAAAACATGTGATTACATTTCATTTATTGTCAAATGGGTGACTGTAGGGTGTCTGGGATTTAAAAACAAAATAATTATGCTTCAGACGCGGGAAAATAAAATTATCTGCTTCAAAAAGTACACTGGAATTATTTTGTTGAAAAAAATTAGGATCCTAGTTCTCATTAATAATTATAACGTATCAAGTCTCGATACAAGATCCCAGCCTGGTCGAGCAGAGATAATATTCGCGACGCAGATAAGTTATTCCCCGAAAACTGGTGAATTATAAAATACTAGTCAGGACCACGTATGTTTCCCCATTGTTTGGTTATGGAAATAGTTATGGTACTCGGTCAAAGCCTTAGAATGACATCCTGTCAGCCAATGAGAATACAGAACAACTTTCACGGCACACACTACTGACAAATAGTGTGATGACGACGTGCGTAATTGGACAAAATGGAAAACAATGAAAGCAACAAGTACTTCATGATTTGCCGTTGTATTCGCAATGTTCTGTGTTGACTGCATCATTTAGGGCTCCAATCCGAAAAGAAGGTTATAGCGAAATATTTTCAGGCTCAGGTGAAATCTCTTACTGATTTTGATAATATATACCAGTCGAACCAGTCGAACTGCCCAAAATGCCCCAGCAAATTTGGTCATTCATTCTAATTTGTTCAAATTTATTTATAATGATTGAATATATGCTGTAAATGCATAGTTTTTATTATGATATTATGTTCTTCATATAAAAGTTATTAGGAAGTAATATTTCTGGTAAATGTTTCATTAGTAAACTCATAACTATGTATATACTTTTATATGAAGAACATAATATCAAAGTTGACAAAACTATGCATTTATGGCCTATATTTATTCATTTTAAATAAATTGGGGCATTTTGACTACCCCACTGGGGCAATTTGACCAAATTTGCTGGGTCATTTTGTAGCGGGGGCAATTCGACTGGCAATCGGACTTGATTTAATTTATGTTCAAAATACCACTGACAGTAAGTTGTTACAGGGAATGATGGAGTATAAATGAATCTCGTGGGTACTTTTTCCTTCTTCAGCCTAGCTAGGGGATTTCCATACCCCATGCATGCATGTCTCTTTCATATGCGTCAGACTCGGAATGATTGGCGCATTTCTCCTGCCAAAATCTGTCATTTCACTTGGAAAACGGAAGAAATGGTGGTTCTTTCCCATGTTCGATGATTCTGTGCATCCCCAGGCAACGCAATACACCATTATACCATTTAAAAAAAGACAGAAACAACACGATTTGTACTACAGTAGCGCTTGGTATTTGGCAATATGGCGGACTCCAGGCACATTTGTCGTCACGAGTGGAAAGGTCAGGTGGGTTCCAGCGAAATATGCATAATGGCCGAAGCTGAGATTTACAGAAACTGTTTTCGCGATTAAAACATAATTATACATAATTTTTAATTGAAATTTTGGGAATATGATTCTGATGACTTTATCTTTCACCCAGCAAATTATTGCATTCACTCGTATTCTCCTTTAAAGTCCAGCGTGATTTTATTTTTTAGACTAAGTCCATATCGTTTCCATGGAAACCGAGAAAAATAAAAATGACAAAAATCTGCAAATAGCAAAAGGCACCACTTCAACATCTGTCTCATATATCTGCCAACTTGTGCTTAAAGATATTGAGCGATTTTCAATTTGTGCTCCGGATGGACGAGGCGTCGACTATATCCCCCCGCATTACATGCCAGGGGATAAAAACAATTAGGGTGAAACCACTTTTCGAAACCACATTCATAATTTAATGGGCAACCTGTGTCCCAACGGTTTGTTGATTGGTTTGTTGTTTAATGCCACTCTCTGCAATACTCAAGCTATATGGCAGTGGTCTGTAAATTATCGAGTCTGGACCAGACAATCCAGTGGTCAACAGCATAAGCAGTGATCTACGCAATTGGGATACAATGACATGTGTCAACGAATTCAGCAAGCCTGAACACTCGACCCTGTTAGTCACCTCATACGACAAGCATGGGTTACTGAAGTAAATTCTAACCCGGATCTGTGGCCCACAAGAAGGAGCTGTATTTTGTCTCCAGTATGACAGTCTAACTGCTTGGATAAAACCTCTTTGAAAATGAGCTATTTTATGCTGAATGGCAACAATAATGATAAGCACTTATGAAAAAGCTATGGCAAATGTCTTTATTCACATTTTAACAATAAAATTTAAAAAGAGAAAAGAGCTCCACTTCACTGACTGAAACTGGAACTATTTTAACATAAATTTTGTGACTTTCTCGAATTTCCCTGGTAAAGATGAAGCATATCACCAGGCAATTCACATTTCTGTTTAAAAAGCTGGAGTCAGACTATCATATAGCATTTTATGGAACTGTTCACTTAGTGTGTAAATGAAGACATCATCCCCCATTTGACAAAAACTAACCAATAGAATGACAAACATGTCAAATGCTATTGAACAGGGTACAGGCTAAAACGGAACCACAGCAAAACGGCACCTGGCGAAAACGGCACCATTTGGACATAACGGAACCTCGACTTGGCGAAAACGGCTTCAAATCTTATGGCGAAAACGGCACAAACTAAAATCTTATGGGGAAAACTAGTTTGTTATAAGATAATCGGATTGCAGATAATAAATACATCTACTATTATGTCGGAACTATCAAAATTTAAGAACAAGGATGTATTTTTATATTCAAGGATACGATGTGAAAACTACTTTATAACGGTAACGGGCGCATTGAATAACTCAACTATTAGTGATATTCTGAACTCATTACAACAGTTCATTTCTAAAAGTAACCGCTTACAGTAATTATCAAATCTCATTATATATTCAATGTAAGGCAAGTTTTATATATTTGATTTTTCTGCGGCTGCTCATTTCGTTGCTAGGCATATCCAACACTATACCGAACATATTTATTATTCAATCATTTATCTGTTATTTTGTCACAGTATTTTTCTTTTGTTGTCAAATTATTTCAATTATGTATCCAGCTATTGGAACAATGTAATGGAGTTGCATCTATATAAGCCACTAGGCTTGTTAAGCCTATCCAGGTTTCTTTGTGAAATAAAAATGTGCTTAAACCAAATATATCTACTGTGCCGACAGTGATTGGAAGTGGGCATCCCATAGCTGACAATCGGATTGCAGAATGTTTAGATAGTAAATACATCTACTGTGCCGACAGTGATTGGAAAGGGCATCCCAATTTAGCGTGAAAACATCGCAACCTTTGATGTTTTAAGTACATTTACTCAACTGAAATCGCCCAGTGTCAAACTCAGTGTCAAAATGAAATTGTTTTTAAAACACACAAATGTACCCATTGTTTACCGTCGCCGAAATACCTTAGTTGTGCGTGCGACGTTAAATAAAGCAAATAACAACAACCCATTGTTTGTTAGTTTTTTGGTTTTATGGAGATTTTTTTTCTTTTTTGGGTATACATAACATAATAATTTTTCTGAATATACATAACATATATTATGCAAGCTTAATGATGTTTCATTTTTCATATTTTACCATTTTTATTAGACATTTCCTGAAATTGTGTCACTGCCGTTACGAAATTTGTAACATCATTTTGAAAAGAAAAAATCCAAAGATAATATTTATTTCATGTACATATATATTAAAATATCTAGTTTTACAATATAACATGGAGTTTTGAAATAGTATATTTATTGCTTATGAAAAAGACAAAAAAATTCAAATGCCACATCTGTGACATCAGCCACTGGAGTTGTGACACATGAACATTGAGTAAAATTGGGTGGTGTAAAGTTAATATAAAAATATAGTTTCCCTACTTTTGTTACTGTAAAGTGTAAAAAAATATTGTGATAAGTTGGTTACCATAATTTTTTTGGTTTGATTTTGACTTAAGTTTGTCGGATACAAACATCTGACATAAATATGCACGGATTTTGAGAATGACTCATATGTTGATATAATCTTGCTGATGTTATAATGAAATGAAATAAAACATGAGTCAACGTCATACTTTGTTTTATATATGGTGTCGTTTGAGCCCAGAAATCAGTACCCGTTTTGGCCAATATGGTGCCGTTTTCGCCACACAAATTTGGTGCCGTTCTGCTGTGGTGCCGTTTTAGCTATAACCCATTGAACAACACTGCCAATTTCACAGACTTTACTGTCTTACCTCCAGTTTGACATCTTCAGATACCATGCAAGAATCAGTGCTCACAAATACAGTCCGAGTCTTGTTGCCACTGTCAGCAAACACAAACGCTCGACTATACTGGCGCAGATGAATGCCATTGCTTGTTTGTGAAGGATTCGCATAACCCATCTGTACAGATTAAAATAATAAGAGTTCAAGCGTTACATTCATTGTTGTTAAATAATTATGGCCAAGAAAACATATTACTGAACTAACAATATTAGTTCAGTAATATGTTTGATGAAGTAATTCTGGCATGACAGTTGTTAAATGTTACTGTTGAAATAAATACACCCTCACACAGTTACATAAAAGTCGTATACCCCAGATAAGGTAACAATTCTTAGCATTTAAAATGTAAATTACTCTTTAATAGAACATTCCCATATTCCAAAGACCTTTTTAGCTTCTGTACCTGTATTTTCTGAACAAGACGTTTATTACTGATTGAATGCAAGCATCGCGTATACATACACTGTGAGAAACTTCATGATTTTAGGGAAGTAAAAAATGTTGCAATCTTGGGAAAGAGAGTAATACCATGTTCACTTCAGCCGCTGGCCCGGTGATGTCACCGATTCCCGTCCCGATAAGGTAATTAGTGACGTCATTTCGAACAGAACTTGAAGAAACAACACCCAAGACACTACAGCATATAGAGAGCACACAAATACACCTCTTCATTGAATCAGTCGCCATTTTGAACTGGTGGGACATGTGATTCATGTCACGTGATAAATTTGGTTGCGTGTACTAACTGCAGAGGGGACGACAGAGCTGTTTATTAATAACAACAGTAAAATAAGATTAACATCGCCGACACGTTTCATGCTGATATTGTAAATAAAGGCACCATGTCCATATGCGTTCGTTGCCGCCTTAATACATGTAGACAACAAACTTTTAGTCAAATGAAAGGTCAGTTAAGATCGCCATAAGAATAATGGTTCTGTCCATTTGATACAATGCAAATTTGCCCATGTGGAGATGCTACTTTCCAAACACTAGTTATGATGTCAACCTTCCACGAGCTTCTGACGGGGGTGACACAGCTGTGGCATGCTTGGTGATCCTGTTGCAGCCAATGCCAGAAACATTTTACTGTTGATGTCACGTGTTCCATATGTATTCTGTCTCTAACTGCTATCTTCAAATCGTTATCATGGCGTTATCATAATATCTAATTATGTTTACCTTTGTTGGTACGTGTCGTGCTTGAAGCCTTTCCCGGGGAATTTACCGCTATGTGAGACCAGAGGTCTTATAAGCTATATATGTTAATTCTTACTGTAAGATAAAATTCAGGGTACTTGTCTTACCTTAACAAACACTAGTTGTTTGTTAAAGATATATATAAATGCTGAGGAAAGTCAATTTTGCTTTGATTTTTTTTAAAAAAGCAATGATTCCGATTATGACTCCGAAAAGTTATACGGTAATAAATTCACCAATACGTTTAATCAACATCATATTCCTATCATTTTTCAATCTCGTCTTAAAACAACAACAACAATATAAAGAATTTCTGTTATCAACAAACAAGATGTATTTTAAACTGCAAGTAACGTTTGTTAACGATTAATTAATTAATTAATAAAAATCAGTGCTTTTTGCATGTAGAAGTAACTTGATATTTACACTGAACATATATTGACGTCATACCCAGTACTATCTCTACACTCAACAGCTGTTGCTTCATGCCCTACAAATACACCTGTAGCTTTGCAATAACTGCGTAGTCTCACAATTTGTTCACAAGTTGTGTTCTGGCTCATTGGACACCTTAACAGGTGCAGGTGTCATATATTGTGTGAGTCATTAACGACCTCTGCTGTCACCGATTAGGTAACCTTAATGAATTTAGCTACAAGGTTAAGTATCTGCATATAATATATAACGCCCGTATTACTGATATTTACAACAGCGATGATTATAAGAGATTTAATTGTAATAATATTGATGATAACGACGACTGTGATATAAGTCCCTGATTTACTGTGTCAACAGTATGTTTTATTGATTTTTAATTGTCCTAACTTACACTGAAACGCCAGAAGCATTTCTACGCTTTTAAGATCTAGGAAGTCGTTCTGAATATATTATGTGTGGATATTTATGGAAACTCCCTCGGTCCCTTGAAAGTGAAGGTGTGTTTGGCAGTATGTTTTTAAATAATATATAACTACGGTGTAGCTATTTATAACAATAGTTTTAACGATGTATAAAATAACAGTATCTGCACTTTTATACATTTTTAGTTTGTAATGTATCAAAGAAATGACATTGTTCTACTCGCCGATATTTGCTGTCACCCCTATCACAGAAATAGACTGGCCCAAGAAATTCCGACAAGGGGAGAACCCTGCTTGCTCGAAATTTGATATGGCTGTTCTAACCTCATACACGCTTGTGGGGGTTATATCCGGAGTGTGTACCATTCTAGAGGCACGTAGGCAGCTCCTCCGCAACGTGTACCAAGGTCTTGGGACGCTGGCACCCACAGAAAACCATTCTTAAGACAAACCAGGTCTGCGATCAGCTGATTTTTGTAAGAGGAGCGCAATATTTTACAAACACTTCCTTCAATCTTCCAAAAGTTTCACTGGTGTGGAACTCGAACCTTAAAGATTCAGATTATCCCAAGATGCAGGGCTCGTTCTCGGAGATTGTTCTGGGTTTTCTGCTGATTGCTTGCGTGGCAAATGTTGGAAGATGTGAACTCTTTACTTCCATGGCGCATCTACAAACTGCACTTTACGCAGAAAGAGACATTGCTGTCACCCTGAAAAACTATGTGGAGAATGAAGAGGAACGACTACGACAAATTAAAAGGTATGTTTATATTATGATATCAATATAGGTGTTATTTCTGCCACTTTGACACGTGTTTGTTTACACATTTTGCATGTGTTTTGTTTACACATCTTTACTGGTAGTCTTACATTGTTCAAGATGTAGACAAAAAAACGAAGCAGACGTGTTTCCAAACTTGACAGCTTGATCATGTTGATGCTCAGCTGTCCAGTTCGACTACCAAGTTTAATTAGTACAAATACCGTGAGCCCACTGTCATGACCTTTCAATGTGTGTGCTCTGTACACAGAGTCTGTGTAATGAAGTTAAACTGTGCGATGAAGTAAAACAGTTACCTATTTCATCATGTCTTACAATATAGACTGAAGGATGATTTGAATTGAGGTTTTTACTTAACACCACAGGCTGAATTACCCTCAGTCACTGTCTGTTGGATAACTTAGTCTGTTAATGGTATATCATCAGGACACCTTCCCACAGCCACAGGTCCAGTGGTTGCTACTCCCATGCCTTGACCATCAGCATAATTTAGGGAAAGAGTTCCTTCCGTTCCCCCAACCATAATCCTAACTCTAAACCTAACCCGAGGCACCTTTAGAATACAGCACCACAACTTCTTGTGAGGACGATCTCTGCCATAGGTCACGTGTCATTAAGACAAGCAACCAGTTTGTGAGAACCCGTCGGACGCGAACCCGCGACCTTCGGATTGTTAGCTTGACAGCTAACCGACTGAGCTACGTCCACACTGTTGCACAATGTGCAAATTTATCGAGTCATTCCTTTGACGTCACGGAAATGAACGGAAAGAGTCGAATAGGTCACGGACAATTACGAAGGTTATGGGTAGACCTGGTGTCTCGTGATTTTAATCTACGGACACCTGCCAAATGGATCCGATGCCATTTGGCACACTCGTCCCATTCCGTAATCTACAAGATAGCGTGTGGCGTGGAATGAGCGATATGCCTCAAACTGAAAAGGGTTGTTGATGTCAGAAGCGTCACCGCGTAGATTTCACGGTGCATGCATGAATGATGCGCTTTTATATAAATCGGTGATTTTGTGACAGAAAAGTGATGTAGGGAACACTGTAAGGATAATGTGGATCGCACTAAGGAACGAGGGAGACATGAGCATGTGTAGTGACGGCACGAGGGTGAGTTAGCCTTCGAATCATATACTGAACAAATGTTGCGTGTGAAATAGGCTTCAGTGCAAATTCCAGGCCAATTTCCATTAGCCCAAAATTTCTACATTAAACCATTTCATAGTGTACTTTTGACGTTTTTGGTTTCCCGGTTTTGTGTGAAAAAAAGTATTAAAATGCAAAAGGAAAAACAACAAATGGTATTTACGTATTACACCGGACATGTACCTATTATATTGGATTAGGTCCCTAACCCTAAACCCTCAGCCCTAACCCTAATCCCTTGAAATTATCCTAATAAATAGAATGCATTGACCGAACACGCAGTATTAAAATGCAAAAGGAAAAACAACAAATGGTACTCACATATTACACCGGACATGTACCTAGCCCTAACCCTAACCCCTTGAATTAAGCCAAATAAATAGAATGCATTGACCGAACTGGCACAAACATGACTGACGTGTCCAGTGTAATGCATTATTACCGCTTCGAAAAATAAAATACTAAAAAAAAACTTTCTATAATGGTGCAAATTACTGAATGACAAAAATTTATATGTAAATTTAAAAAAAGCAAAATACAATAATACACAAAACATAACACCTCAGCACCCCGTAATACAAGTAAATATGAGTGTATTAGTGAAAAAAGAAAAATATTTCAAACTGGTGCTTGCAAAACATTGCCCATCCGCTGGTATACAACTACTGGAAACTCTCAACATCGTTGGGCTTATGCAATGACATAGCTCGTAAAGATGAAACACCAGTGAGCGGAGCTTATACGCACTCGCTGAGCCAGACAGCCTCGCATGCAGGTAGTCTGTCTCACAGCCAGACAGCCGTGCAGTGTTGCCATGCAAGTCTAGATTCATAGGGCATTGTTCCCTAGAGAACGTGCTTTCGAACAAAATCACATTACATTACGTAAAAAGGTATAATGACATATTTTTAAAGTTTGTGGTGCTGTATTCTAAAGGTAGGCCCCTAACCCTAACTGAAAGTTTGGACTTTTAGTCATTTTTGTGAGTTCTCTAGTCTAGGTAAATGTTACATGACATGATTTTCTACTTATTTGTGTAAACGGGAATTGATACAGGATAAAAGATTTCATGGACTAAATACTAGTTAATGAAATAGAAATGTCACTGGTTAAAGAGTGTGTAGTTATAATTTCAGTATCATTGGTTTTATGTCAAAACAGTCTCTTGTCAGAACAGCCCCAAACCTCAAACGTCAAGGTGGCCACAAAAATGTCAAAATGGCCTGAAATCCATTTTCAAAACCGCTATCAAAAAAGGCATAACCTTTGAGGATAAAAAGTTAAAGTAGTCATGCTAATGAAAAATGAATATACAGTGTGTGCAGAATGTGCATGGAGAATGTGTTAGAAGTTTCTCTTCCAATGTTGTCTCTGCCAGTAGATTACCTTGCTCTCTTAACTAGCCTCAACAAACCACTTCGATCTCTGTACCAATCTGTGTAGCCATCGGTGGTGAAAACATTATGAACTTTCATCCTAATGAGGTAACGTTTCATTGTTTTTACTTATCTATTTGTGATAAGATGTATAAATTATTGTTGCATTATTCCTTGTTAGATGTACAACATATACACAGTAGTCGAGTTGGTTATCTGTATCAGTTTGTTGATGTTTTGACTTCACCTTTTGGGGTTGCTCTGACATAGGGCCGTTTTGACCTACTCCTGTGTCATGGATATAAACCTGCTGTGTTTTCAGTTTAGAGGTTTCAAATCTAACTCTCTTTCAATTCAAACTTGTCCATTAAATGCCAGAACTCACAGAATGTTTCCCACACAACCATTCCTGCAGTTGGTACTTGTCCTGCAATATTTTCACTTACCCTCTGAATTCATATAAAAATTTAGGCTCCTAGTTATTACTGCCATTTTCTGTTATTAACCTTTGAGGATATTTATGACAGGCAGTACAATATAACGGGTAGGTACTTCCGTCTACATTCATCCCTGCCCATTAATGCAACCACACTAACATTAGATCTTGTACTGATTATTTCCAATTTTTAGAATCATGTTTTTAAATAAAAAAAAGGCGACCTGCTTGGTAATCAATTACATGCTTTTTCTCATCAATGTCCCATCCCTGACAGTTGAGTGTCTGTAATGAGCTGCTAACAACAGAAATTATAAATACAATTCCTCGATATTAAAAGATGTGAATATACAGAAATATCATCTTGCATATTTTGTAAAAAAATATTAGAAATGAATTGATACAATTGAAATATGTACTTGCCTGGTAATGTTTGTTCACTTACAGTCCGTTTAAGTTCATTTGAGGGGCAGTGGAGTAGCCTAGGGGTTAAACTTAAAAGCGTTGGCTCGTCACGCCGAAGACCCGGGTTCGAATCCCCACATGGGTACAGTGTGTGAAGCCCATTTCTGGTGTTCCCCGCCGTGATGTTGCTGGAATATTGCTAAAAGCGGCGTAAAAGCAAACTCAGTCAGTCAGTTTAGTTCATTTGAGACCGATGAATTGCTCATAGCTCAAAATCTAATAAATTCAACAAAACCTGTAATCAACAAGCGTCTGTAGTGAAATTTCAATTTCATACGGGCAACTCGCACACCTGGCTGTTCTCAGAAAGTGGTCCCCCCTCGTAAAAGATAGCTGTAAGTGACAACAAAATATTGATCGTTTGTTAAACGGTTTTATTCGGACGTCAAAAAATTATGAGACAAATCATCATAGTTGGTCTGTCGATTTTATGTGACAGTGCAAAATCTGGTTTTGTTGCAATTATTAGATTTTGTGTTGGTGAGTAATTCATCAGTCTCAAATGAAATCAAACGGACTATAGTTATTTTCTGAACCTGGTCACTTATGAATGTTTCAAGCCCTGAATGTACGATAGGGCTGCCAAATGACATGTATTGTATGCAGAACTTCATATTTTGAACTGTATGTCCATGACAGGCAAATTTTTATAGTATAAAAAATGATCATGTTCATTGATATTTTTATTTCAGTAATGTATTAAAGCCAATTTTATGAACTGGAATACTTTTGTAAATTTACTGTAGTCTTAGAGAAGAATATTGTCATCTGGGAAGAACTCTCTAAACCCCAACCATGCCAGTTCTACAGGCAAGAAGTACATGTATATGCATGGGGACAAGTAAGTAAGCAGCTGTTATAGATACAGTTCCTTTGATGTGTCAAGGAAGTTGTCTTACATAATGCTACATAATCACCTCTCAAGTGTGCCCTATGTACAGTCAGGCATCTTGTGAACTTTTCCAGTTTAATGTGAATGACAATGTAAGCAGTAGCAAGCGGTGGTAGGTGTAAGACAAAGATGATATCACTCCCTGGCCAAATTCATCCTTGCTGAACGTCTGTGGAGAAAGGCATTTCCAGTCAACATTTAGAAGAGGCTTTGATCAACACTTCCTGTGACTGTAATGACATATCTGTTTATTACTGTTGTAGAATGTTTCCCGTGAGAATGTTTTACAGTTACTTAATGTTGTGATTGGGTATAGAAAATGAATATTTAATGAATGAACCATGGATGTCCAGAAGTGAATATTTTTAGATTTTAATGTCACGTTTCAGATTGGTTTATGTGTAACATAATCCATTATCAACTGATTATATCATCAGATGGGTAACAGTATCCATTACATGATCAAATGGTTTATGTATATCTCTCAACAAATCTTAGGATAGCAAGGAGTTGGTAAATGGTAAGTAGGTGTGAACAAAAAAGATTTATACATACAACTTAAATAGATTGAAAAACAGTTGATTTTTTCCTGTTGCCATAGTTACGCTGTCAATGAACAATACACAAAATATGCAAGAATTATGTCACCCATTC